AAACTGCTCGACGGTCAGCCAACAACAACGCCGCGACATTCAATGCGAACGGCGCCCTGCTGCTATGCTCATTGGCGTTTGAACTTGGCGTTTCCGTGTGCTGGTGCTCCAACGAGGCCCCTCTTGGCACGCGACCGTCGACGCCAGGCAGGCTCAGCACCATGACGACGACGTGCTGCCAGCACAAGGGGCGCGGCCGCCGCGCCTCGCCTGTGCAGAGGCACGGAGGCGCGGCTGGCCTCGGCCACGGCGCCACTCGCGGCGCCCGTGGGCCCCGGCCCCGCGGATCGGCCCCAATCGGATGCTGAAGGTCGGGCGGCTGGCGCCGAACGTGTCCCGACCGATCCGATCATCGGCGCCGACCGCTGGGGGCCAGATACCCTCTTATAATCATTACTCATATTGTTCTTCATCATCATCCTCTTCAGCAGCAGCAATATCAACGTCCCCATCAGAATCCTCATCATCATCATCATCATCATCATCATCATCATCACCATCATCATCATCATCATCATCATCATCATCATCATCATCATCATCATCATCATCATCATCATCATCATCATCATCATCATCATCATCATCATCATCAACATCGTCATCGTCATCGTCATCGTCATCGTCATCATCAGCAGCATCCTCCTCAGCATCATCATCATCACCATCACCATCACCATCAGTATCATCAGCATCATCAGCATCATCAGCATCATCGTCATGATCATCATCATCATCATCATCATCATCATCCTCATCATCATCTTCATCACCATCATCATCAGCAGCATCATCCTCGTCATCATCATAATCATCATCATCTTCCTCGGCGTCATCATCATCAGCAGCAGCAGTATCAGCATGAGCACCATCATCATTAGCATTGTCCTCCTCATCAGCAGCAACATCAACATCCTCATCAACATCCGCATCCTCACCAGCCTTCTCATCGTCATCATCATCAGCAGCATCATCAGCATCATCAGAAGCAGCATCATCATTACCATCATCATATCATCATCATAATCAAAATCATCCTCATCGTCAGCAACATCGTCGTCATCGTAATCCCCATCGTCATCATCATCAGCAGCAGCATCAGCAACATCATCATCATCATCATCATCATCATCATCATCATCATCATCATCATCATCCGCACCAGCATCAGCATCAGCATCAGCATCAGCGTCCGCATCATTATCAGAATCGACAGCATCGTCATCAGCATCACCGTCAGCATCAGCATCATCATCATCATCATCCTCAGCAGCAGCAGCATCACTATCATCATCATCATCATCATCATCGTCATCATCATCATCATCACCATCATCATCATCAGCATCAGCATCAGCATCAGCATCATCAGCATCATCAGCATCAGCATCACCAGCATCATCATCATTAGCAGCAACATCATGAGCAGCAGCAGCATCGTCACCATCAGAATCATCATCATCTGCAGCATCGCCATCAGCATGATCATCATCATCAGCAGCAGCCACACCCGCATCATAATTGCCATCAGCATCGTCATGATCATCATAATCAGTATCATCAGTATCAGTGTCAACAACAGCATCATAATGAACATCAGCATCAGTGTCAGCATCATCGTCATCGTCATCGCCATGGAAAATGATCATCAGCATCATCAGCATCACGATCATCAGCATCAGCAGCATCATCATCACCATCAGCAGCATCATCATCACCATCAGCATCATCATCAGCATCAGCATCATCAATATCATCATCAGCAGCAGCAGCATCATCATTATCACCACCATCCTCATCAGCAGCAGCATCAGCATCAGCAGTGTCATCATCATCAGCATCATCACCATCAGCATCATCATCAGCATCAGCATCATCAGCATACCATCATCAGCATCATCAGCATTATCAGCATCATCATAATCGTCCGCATCAGCATCATCATCGCCCTCCTCATCGGCATCATCGTCATCATCAAAAGCATGATCATCATCAGCATCATCCTCATCACCACCATCATCACCATTGGCATCATCATCGCCGTCATCAGCACTAATGACCCATGAGCATCATCAGTGTCGCCAACATCGCCGTCGTGCCGTCGTGCCGTCGTGCCGTCGCCGTCCTCGTAGTTGCTGCCCTGCTCTCTCCGCTCTCGTATGGTCATCTCCTCTTGCTCCTCCTCCCCTGCCTCCTCCTGCTCCTCCTCCTCATCAGCATCACCATCATCACCATCATCATCAGCATCATCATCATCAGCAGCAGCATCCAAGCTACCTCCCTCGCTCTCCCACCCCAACCTCTTGTTCCGCCCCTCTCCCCGCCTCTTCCTAGTCCTGACACCGTGCTCCTCCTCCTCTTCCTCCTCCTGCCTCCTCCTCCCCCTACCCCTCCCGCTCCCTCCTTTCCTCCCTCCCTTCCTCCACCCCTCCCTCGACGACGTCGATGGCGCCGACGACACCGCCGACGACATCGACGACGACGACGACAACGACGACGACGATGACGACAGACAGCGGCGACGACGCCGACGACGACGCCGACGACGACGACACCGACGACGACGACAAAGACAAGGACGACCATCTTGCGAACACGTGATCCTACAATCTGAGTTCACGCCATGTCTTGCTCCCTCTCCCTCGTACCCCCTTTGTAATGCTATGAACCACCCCACCCCCCCTTGGCGGGCTTCTGTCCATACAAGTAGTGGACTCTGCGTGTGCACCGCGCCGCCATGGCATGGCATTGATGTAAGGAAATCGCGCCCGCGGGCAACTCACCAGCTTGAGCGAATTGCCAGGAAGTCTCGGGAGAGAGCGGCGTTCCTGAGTTTGGGGTCCTCCAAGACGTCTCAGCATAAATTGTGAGGAAGTATCAAGCGAGAGCCGTTGTCATCAAAGCTGGGCTTTGACCCACTTGAGCGCAATGCGAGGAAGTCCCGGGCGAGCGCGCCAGTCCTAAGTGAGAATGTGTACGACAAGGGTACGCGCGAGAAACTTACAAGTAAATATCAAGCAACAGCCGTTGTCGTCGCGGTTTGGCCTTCACCAACTTGACCGAAATGTGAGGGAGTCTCGGGCGGAAGCGCCAATCCTGAGGTTTGGGGGGCTGTCTGGCCAAGGGTCTTCGGAGCAACTGCGGGGCAGTGTCGAACGGGAGCCGCTGTCGTCGCAGCGTGGCCTTCACCAATTTGTCGTGACCTGCGAAGACGCTTCGGGCGAGAGCGCGAGGGAGCGCCACGCCCCAGAGCGGGGAGCAAGCGGCGAGGATGTACCGAGCGGGAGCCGTGGTCGTCGCAGTGGGGACTTCACCAGCTTGACCGAACTGGAGGAAGTCTCGCGCGAGAGCGCCGCGGGCTCATCCGACCAAGGCGCGCAGGAGTGAGTCGAGGGGAAGTCTCGAGGGGCGGCCGTTGTCGTCGCAGCCGGGCCTGCGCCAACTCGACCGACTTGCGAGGAAGTCTCTGGCGAGAGCGCCAGTCCTGAGTTTGGGTGCCTCTCTGGCCAGTGGGGCATGAAAAAGATTGCGGGGCTGCATCGAACGGGAGCCGTTGTCGTCGCAGTGTGGCCTTCACCAACTTGAACGATCTGCGAGGACGCTTCGGACGAGATCGCCACTCCTAAGAGCGGGGAGTAAACAGCGAGGATGTATCGAACGAGAGCCGTTGTCGTCGCAGTGGTGACTTCACCAACTTGACTGAATTGCGGGGAAGTCTCGCGCGAGAGCGCCGCGGGCGCATCTGACCAAGGCGCGTGGGAGTAAATCGAAGGGAAGTATCAAGCGGCAGCCGTTGTCGTCGCGGCTGGACCCTCACCAATCCAGGCGACTGCCTTCTCGTCGCAGTTGGGCCTTCGCCAACATGGCTGCATTGCGAGGATGTATCGAGCGAGAACGCCATTCCTGAATTTGGGGGCCTTTATGGCCAAGGCCGTCTCGGAGAAGATTGTGAGGAAAGATCGTACGGGAGCCGTTGTCGTCGCAGTTGGGGCTTCAACCGCTGCGAGTGCGAAGCGAGCTCGCGTTCGAGCGGGAGCGGCGTTTGAAAAGAGACTGTGCCCAGCGTCGAGGCGAGAGCGCCCTGAGCCGCTTCGACTGATCAGCAGAAACTCCTCTCTAGCAGTGAGTCTGCAACGACGATGACTGTCGACGCACGAGGCCGCTGGACAAGGCCGCGCAGGAGGCCGCGCCGAAGGCTGCCACAGAGGGCCGCGCCGAGGGCCCCCCTCAAGGCCTCGCCGAGGGCCGCGCCGAGGGCCGCGCGGAGGGCGCCGCGCCGAGGGCCGCGCCGAGGGCCGCGGGAGGCCGCCGAGGGGGCCGCCGGAGGCCGCGCCGAGGGCCGCCGGGGGCCACCCGAGGCCCCAGACTTCGGGCGGGCTGGCCGCGAGACGCGGCGGAGCACTCATGTTGCATCCTCGGGGGACCTCGTCTGTCCTGTCGCGGCCCTGTCCGCGTCGAATCCGTGTCGAATCCATGTCGGACGCGTCGGCTCCGTGTCGAATCCGTGTCGAATCCGCGTCGAATCCACGCCAAATCCGCGTCGAGGCCGCATCGAGCACGCGTCGGGCCCCCAAAAAGACACCAATTTTGGGGACAGGCGAGGTCCCCCGAAGATGCAACAAAAAAGCGCGCCCCGAGAGAAGCCCGCCACGACCTCACCGGGCCACGGGGGCGCTGAGAGAAGCTCGGCGACGACGCCCTCGCTGGGCGCGAACAGGGTCTTTGCCGGGCGCCTACGAACACTGAGCCGGGCCGGTTGTTCTGGCCCGGGAGCTCTTCGGCTCTCTCGGCCCCCTCCTGGGGGAAGGGCGTTCTTCCGGGCCCCCCCAGGGCTGTCAAAGACGGGCCTGCCCCGAGGCTGGGGGTCAAAACTTCTGGGGCCCGCGCCCGCGGAGCCAACATCAGATCGGGCATGTGCGACATGCCCGACTAAAAGCTAACAAACAGGTCAATCCGTCGGCAGTCGTGGGCCGCCAGGGGCCGGCCGGGAGCGGCGGCACCAGCGCCAGCAGGCACTGCATCTGGAAGTGCTCCTTGATCTCGTTCAGGTAGTCGCCCGCCTGCGTGTCGAGGCGGCCAGACCTATTCTCGTCGTCGTCGTCGTCGCCGTGGTCGTCGTCGTCGTCGTCTTCGAGGTCACCAGCATGGTCAGTCGAGGGCGGGGGACGAAGAGGAGGGAGGAGGAGCAGGATGGGCCGAAAGCAGCTGGACAACTCCTCCACGTCGCACCACCAGACGTGTCGGAAGGGCGGTTCAGGCGGCCCGTCTGAGGCTTACTCTCCGCGCTTGATCCTGAAGATGGGTCAGGGCGGGCGCGCACATTCGCTTCAGCAAAAAAAACAGACTGTTGCACGGATGGAGGGTGGGTCGTTTTAAGACGTTGACCCTCGCTGGCTCAACGGGCCAGAAGCATGCTAAGATCTCCAGTAACAGGTTTAGAACATTTCTAGTTCGCGAGCGCAGGGCCGCCCTCTGGGGGTCACCGGACAAAGAGTACCCGAGCAAGGTCCCGGCGAGGTCCTGGCAAGGTGAGCTCTCCAGGAATTGTGCTCCGGCACGGTTCAAGATCTTCAAGACGCGACAATAACGGTGACTCGCGGCGATGAGATCCCAGGAATGGCGTTCTGGCACAATTCCGGATTCTCGAATAGTTGTCTTTCCACCTATGAATCCGTGTGCGCGCCTGTGAAAAGAAACTTGGAGGGAGAGTTTCTTTCAGTATCGTTGATGAGTCTCGGGTGTAAATTGAACCCCCTTCTCCTCCTCCTCCTCCTCCTCCTCCTCCAACTGCTCGTCCTTCTCAAAATCATCATCACCATCCTCATCATCAACAACAACCGCAGCAGCAGAATCAAAAACGACAACATAATCATCATCATCATCATCATCATCATCATCATCATCATCATCATCATCATCATCATCATCATCATCATCATCACCCTCACCCTCACCCTCACCATCACCATCACCATCACCATCACCATCACAATCATCATCATCATCATCATCATCATCATCATCCCCGTCTTCCACCACTTCCCCCTCGTCCTCCCCATCGTCCTTTCCCTCCTCCTCCTCCTCCTCCTCCTTATCCTCCTCCTCCTCCTCCCCGCGCCTCCTCCTCCTCCTCCTTCTCATCAGCATCTTCTTCATCATCATCAGCATCATCATCATCAGCAGCATCAGCATCAGCATCATCGTCATCATCATCAGCAGCAGCAACGTCATCATCACCATCAGCAGCATAATCATGAGCAGCATCATCATCGGCACAATCATCAGCATCGTCATCATCATCATCAGCAGCAGCATTATCATAATATGCATGATCAGCAGAAGTAGTATCATCATCAGCATCAACATCAACAACATCAACTCATCATCCTCATCAACCTTATCATCATCAACATCATCGTCACCGTCATCATCATCATCATCATCATCATCATCATCAGCAGCAGCAGCATCATCATCATCGTCCTCCTCATCCTCATCCTCATCATCCTCCTCCTAGTCCTCACCCTCACCTTCGGCGTTGTAGCATCATCGTCATCATCATCGGCATCATCAGCAACATCATCATCAGCAACATCATCATCATCATCATCATCATCAGCAGCAGCATCAGCATAATGATTATCGTCAGTGTAATCGTCATCAGAAGCAGCATCATCATCATCATCGTCAGCATCAACATCAGCATCAGCATCAGCATCAGCATCAGCATCGTCATTATCAGCATCAGCGTCATCAGCATCACCATCATCATCAGCATTGTCAGCATCAGCATCAGCACCAGCATCAGCATCAGCATCAGCAGCATCATCATCATCACATCATCGTCCTCATCATCATCACCAGAAGCATCATCGTCCTCATCAACATCATCACCACCATCAGCAGCATCGTCATCATCATGATTATCATCATCATCATCGTCAGCGTCATCAGCATCAGCATCATAATCATGACCACCATCATCATCAGCAACATCATCAGCAGAATTATCATCATCCCCATCAACATCAACATAATCAGCATCAGTATCATCATCAGCAGCATCATCAGCATCAGCATCATCAACATCATCATCAGCATCAGCATCATCATCATTATCATAGTAGCATCCCCGTCATCCACCACCTCCCCCTCGTCCTCCCCCTCATCCTTTCCCTCCTCCTCCTCCTACTCATCCTTCTCCTCCTCCTCCTCCTCCTTCTCATCCTGCTTCTCCTCCTCCTCCTTCTCATCCTCCTCCTCCTACTCCTCCTCCTCCTCCTCCTCCTGCTCCTCCTCCTCCTCCTCCTCCTTCTCCTCATCATCCTCCTCCTCCTATCCCTCGTCCTCCTCCGCCCCTCCCTCTCCTTCTCCTCTTCCTCCCATTTGAGCGACCCCCCGCGCGGGACATCACAGTGGCCATGGCGAAGAAGTCCTTCAGCCAGCTGTCGACGGTCGACCGGAGGGTGTGCCTGCCAGTCTCCTCCTCATCGCTGAACCTGCTGGAGAAGCGCGGAGAAGAAGGAGGAGCGAGCGAGCGAGCAGAAGCCGAGAGGCAGCAGGGTTCGGTCCACCCAGAGAGGAAGGAGGAGGAGGAGGACGAAGGGGGGGAGGAGGAAGGGGAGGCTGACTTCAAGAACCAATCCCAATGCACCCCCACCCTGGACCTCCCCTGTCCTCCAAACACCTCGCTCCTCGATGCTGCCTTCACCGCGGCCTTGCATACGTGCTGTAGCGAATTTCTGCGTGGATTTTTGCCCGAAGCGGCGAGCGAAAAACGAAGTGAATTTCGCGTGGATAATTCTTGGTTTTCATTCCTGGCCCCAAAAAATCCGCGCGAAATTCACCTCGAAATCTGGAACGAAATTCTCCAGGACACTCCAGGCCCATCCTATCGATTTCCGAACGGAATCCGCTCTGCGATGTTGGCGCCATGACTCTTGCAGGGGTCTACCCTAACAAGTTTTTCGAGCTGCGTCCAGCCGTGCCAACGAGAACCTCTGGGTTCGCTGACCTCCTTCGCGTCGAGGCTGTGTCCAGCCGAAGTCGCCCAACGACCACAGAGACGCCGACCTCCTTCGCGTCGACGCTCCCATCGGGGACGGGCTGACTCCGATCTGAGGACTACAGGGGTCCTCCTGAGACCCCTGGAGACCTCCAGAAACCTCTGGATGCCCTCGGGGCTCAACGTCTGACTGACCTCTGCTACCCGCGCCCCGACCCTAGCTTCCCATGGGCTGTCTTTTCGGTCCGCGGGTACCAGCAGTCTTGGCCCCTTCCCCTGGAGGCAGCTCTTCGTCGGGGGCCAACGTTTGATGGCCCGGGGGCGCGAAAACGGCCCCCAGAGGCCGCATTCTAAGATAAACTCCCAGACTTGAAAAATCAGTACGCTGGAAATCTGGGGGCCTCCCTTGATGAGTGGGAACGATAAGGGAGAGGACTTGCTGAGGGGGGCGTGGGGAACATCGATCTGGAATCGGCAATACGTCGCCAATAAATCGGCGATAGGCCCCCGATGACAAGTCGAACGTTCCTGAGCGGGGTGGTCTGTCAGGCTCCTATCGGCGATGAATGGGCGATGAGGAGTCGATGCATCACCCCCCTGCGCATATCCCAGCAATGATCCTCGTCCTCCGGTTCTCGGGTCATCACCTGGGCCTCTGGCGGCCATTCGGGAAGATCCTAACCCTCCCCCCCCCGTGAGCCCCCAACGCTGTCCCTGACTCCGCCCCCTCTGCACTCCCCGCCGCCACTGGCCAATGCGCGCCGCCACTGGCGACCTTTTTTGCGGCGCCCCGCCGTCGGTTGCAGCGCGGTTCCCGGAGAAGGAGGAAGAGCGGCACGAGCAGAAACTCGCACAGGCCCGCGCGGGCTTCCTTCATTCAAAACCTCCCAGATGGGGTCGGAGTAGGTGGGGTCTGAGGACCGTGCCGCATCGCCGATGCATCACCGATGCATCGCCGACGTCGGCGTGGAGAATCGGGTTCCGCATCGAGCCGCATCGCCGATGCATTGGCGATGCGGCGCGATCCTCCGACCCCATCTACTCCGACCCCGTCTGGGAGGCCTAGATGTATTGGGAAAATCCTGTGCACGTCCGACCTACGTCAAGTTCACGTCGGACTCACGTCGGCTTTATGTCGGAGCATCGCCGCGCAAACGCGAACGTCGTCCCAAACCTGACGAGGCGGACGTGGACGAGAGAATACAACTAGTACTGCTCGCCGCACGAGGCTTCCGGGATTTTCCTCATAGCTTCCTGGATCGGCGCTGGACCCCCCTCCCTGGCGCGCGGAGCGCGACAGAGGCGGTGCATAGATAAGCAACCACATGCGAACCCGACCCCTGCAGGTCAGATTCCTGAAAAACCGGCTGGGGGTAAGAATTCGAGGGATGTCTGCAGCCACGGGAACCCCAGTGGGGGGTCCGATACCCCAGCGTCGAGTGGACCCGCAGGGGCAGGCCTCGATACTGGTCGCAGACTGGAGGCGCCGCCGAGGTGGGCCCAGTACAGACCCAAGAGATCCGCGCGGACCTTCGAGAGCGTACGGCAAGTTCGTGTCGTGGCGACCTGGGCGCTGGCTTCTGACACAGCGTGGGTCCCTCATCCTTGACCGATCGTGACGAGTTCGATCAAAATCTATCCCCAGGTTCGAAACCGACCAGCGTTTCGAGCCGCGTCCAGCCGTGGCGCCCTGGGGGCCCCTCCCTCCCCTTTTCTGCTGGCTGGAAGCGGTGCGGGGCCCCCTCAGCCCCCCCGCGGGCTTCCAACGACACGAGCATGCCGTGTGCTTGTACCTCGCCGCGGGGCGAGTCAAGGCAACGGCAGCGCACAAAGCCGGCCCCTGGACCCCTCCCCGGCCCAAAAAAAGCACCGGCTTTCCGAGCTGCGCCCAGCCGTGGCGACGACGGGGCCCCGCGAGGGCCAACTACCGCTGTGTCAATGCCTCTTTAGAAAGAAAAAAAACGCCATGAACATAAACTTTCGGCGCTACTCGCGATTTCTTGGATCCGCGCTGGACCCCCTTCCCTCGCGCGCGGAGCGCGGGTGGGGCCCAGCGCGGATCCAAGAAATCCGCGCGGAGCTCCAAAAGTTTCTGTTTATGGCGTTTTTGCTCTTCTTCGATTCTTGTGCCAGCGGCAGGCGCACAGCTGTCTCGACAAGCCTTCCTCTGAGTGCCGCTGTCCCTTCTTCGAGGCGCCGCTTCAAAAAACTACGGCAGCCTCGAGCCCCCGGCGCGGCCACGCCCGCTCGGGGGGCGGGGGGGGCGCCGGCGGCCCGCCCGTCGCCAGCGTGTCCCAGCTCTGGCGGTCTCCGGCGGGCTTCTCTTGAGGGGGGGACGTTAGGGAAGGGAACGCTAGGGGACGACAGGCTCGACGTCAGGGAACGCCAGGGGGCGCCAGGGGACGCCAGGGGACGCCAGCGAACGTTTTCGTCGGCTCTCGGCGGTTTTCCAGCCTTGGGATGCCTTCCAGTCGCTGCGCCTCGCCCGCGCCCCACTCACCCCGCTTCCCGCCCACCCCTTCGTCGCGTCACGATTCGCGCCGTCGCCTTCTGGGAAGTAGCCGTTCCTGGGCATTCGTGGACGGAACCAGCGCGAATCGTGAAGTGACCGGACGATGACTCCACCTAGGCTTGCTTGGTGGAGTCATCGTCCCATCAGTTGGGAAGCTGGCAGCTTGCATCATCAGGTTTTTTTTTTCTCCTCCTCCTCCTCCTCCTCCTCCTCCTCCTCCTCCTCCTCCTCCTCCTCCTCCGCTGCGACTCTGACGCAGGGCTCAGGATTGGCCTGGCCGGGATCGGGCGCAGGCGGGGGTGGCTGGCGCCCCCCAGACCTGCCGCCTGCTTGGGCCGCCTTCCAGGCGTTGTCAAAAGCCTGCTCTCTCCGGCACGGCCAGCCTCTCAGGGAGGTGGAGCTGAAAATTCGCGAAGGGGCAGGACGAGGACGAGGACGGGTGGGGGAAGGTGGAGCCGAGTGCTGGTGAGGAAGGCAGAAAGTTCGGGGAGAAGAGGGGCCACGTAGGGGGAGGCAAGAAGGAGGAGGAGGAGGAGGAGGAGGAGGAGGAGGAGGAGGAGGAGGGAGGCTGGAAGTGCAAGGTGAAGGCGAAGGGTCGGGAAGAGCTGGGAAGAGGGAAGGAGACAGGGAGACGAGCGGAAGGAGCGATGGAGGCAGGGAGAGGAGGGAGGGGGTTGGAAAGGTGGAGGGGGGAAAGGGCAGGAGGGGCAAGGAGGAGAGAAGAGGCAGAAAGGAGGGAGGAGCACAGAGGGGGGCGAGAGGAGGGAGAAGGGAGTGGGAGGACGAGGGTGAGGGAGGACGGAGGCTGGAGGACGAGGCAGGGGCAACGAGGAGGAGCGAGGACCGCCGAGGGAGAAGGCATGCGCGAGGATGAAGGAGAAGGAGGAGCCAGGAGCGAGGAGCGAGGAGTGATGAGGAAAAAGAAGAAGAGGAGGTCGTCCCAGCCGCTCAACGCTGGATGAACTGCATGGAGCTGATGGCGCCGAGGAAGAACACCGTGGGGACCTGCGCTCCCAATCCCGCCACGCGACGTACTGGGGCGTCGAGACTTCCTCCTCCTCCTTCTCCCATCATCATCATCATCATCATCATCATCATCATCATCATCATCATCATCATCATCATCATCATCATCATTCCCTACCTAGGCTCTGCCTAGAAGGGTTCTTATTCTCTCTGCGTAAAGGGGCCGGGCAGTGGTCCCCGCCCCGGGCGGTTCCCCCAGTCCCCGCCCCGCGGTTCCCCCAGTTGCGCCCCCTTACCTTAGCTTTGCGTATCTAGTATTAGCTTAGCTTAGCTTTGCTTAGCTTAGCTTCATCTTAGCTCAGGTTTATCTTAGCTTAGCTTACCTTCATCTTAGCTTCGCAGAGCTTTAGCATAGCAGAGCACAGCATAGCATAGCATAGCGTAGCATAGCGTAGCATAGCATAGCGCAGCATAGCATCTCATAGCATAGCCCAGCATAGCATAGCATAGCACATAGCATAGAATAGCATAGCATAGCATAGCATAGCATAGCATAGCATAGCGAAGCACAGCACAGCGCATAGCACAGCGCAGCATAGCATTAGCATGGGTGTAATTCCCTACCTAGGCTCTGCCTAGAGGGTTAGCTTAGCTTAGCTTGGCTTAGCATAGCGCAGCGCTGCATTAGCATAGAATAGCATAGCACAACCTAGCTAAGCATAGCATAGCATAGCATAGCATAGCATAGCATAGCATAGCATAGCATAGCGCAGCATAGCATAGCATAGCATAGCATAGCATGACATAGCATAGCATAGCATAGCATAGCATAGCATAGCATGGCGCAGCTTAGCATAGCATAGCATAGCTTAGGATAGCGCAGCATGACATAGCATAGCTTAGCATCGCATAGCATAGCATAGCGCAGCATAGCATAGCATAGCATAGCATAGCATAGTATAGCATAGCGCAGCATAGCGTGGCATAGCATAGCATAGCATAGGATAGCATAGCATAGCAACTAATGCTGCTTTCCTAGGGGCTCCAACTTCTAGGTAGGGTCGCACTGGGGTAATCAGCATCATCATCATCATCATCATCATCATCATCATCATCATCATCATCATCATCGGCATCATCATCATCATCATCATCATCATCATCATCATCATCAGCATCATCATCATCATCGGCATCATCATCATCATCATCAGCAGCAGCATCATCAGCATCAGCAGCATCATCATCAACATCATCATCATCGTCATCATCATCAGATCATCATCATCATCAGCAGCATCATCATCATCATCCTCATCATCGTCATCATCATCCTCATCAGCATCATCAGCATCATCGTCATCTGATCGTCATCCTCCTCCTCCTCATCCTCCTCCTCATCATCATCATCAGCATCATCATCATCAGCGTCATCAGCATCATCACCATCAATCACCATCCATCACCATCACCATCATCATCATCATCATCATCATCATCATCTCATCATCATCATCATCATCATCATCAACATCATCATCATCATCCTCATCCTCCTCCTCCTCCTCCTCCTCCTCCCTCCTCCTCCTCCTCCTCCCCCTCCCTCCTCCCCCTCCTCCCCCACCTCCCCCTCCTCCCCCTCCCCCCCCCCCTCCCCCCTCCCCCTCCCCCCCCTCCCCCTCCCCCTCGCCCCTCCCCCTTCGCCCCTCCTCCTCGCTCCTCGCTCCTCCTCCTCGCTCCTCGCTCCTCGCTCCTCGCTCCTCTGCTCCTCCTCCTCCTCCCTCCTCCTCCTCCTCCTCCTCCTCCTCCTCCTCATCATCATCATCATCATCATCATCATCATCATCATCATCATCATCATCATCATCATCATCATCATCATCATCATCATCATCATCATCATCATCATGCCTCCACCCTGCCTCCCTTCCTCCCTCCATCCCTCCCTCACAAAGCTTTCGCGCCAGTCCCCGTCTACATGCTGATGCTTGCCCTCACCCGCTGCTTACGCTGCCTCCTTCAGCACCCTGGCCGGCCCCAGCAGCCTGGCCAGCCCGGCAGGCGGGGCTGGCCGCGCAGCGCGGCGCGCCGCGCCAGCCCAGGGCCCGCACCGCTCAGGTTCCAAGCGCGAGCAGGATCTGCTGCGCCGCGGCCCGCTCGGCGGCAGCCTCCAAGTCAGCGCGGAGCGCGCGGAGGCGGAGCGCGAAGGTGCGCCCGCTGGGCCGCAGCCTGCCGTGGTCGCCGGACGTCTTGTGCAGGGCCGCGGCGGCGTGCAGCACCTGCGGGCCGAGGCGGCCGAGCGCCTCCGCCGCGAAGGGGGCGACCGCCTCCCCGCAGTGAGCCCGTTTCGTCGGTCTCGCCGCCGCGGGCGGCCACCCTGGGCAGCTCGTGCGGGCGCGAGAGTTCGGAGGCGAAGGGCGAGCGCACCGTGACATCGGGCCAGAAGCAGCGCCCCGAAGCCGAACACCGGACGACAAGGTCCACGATGCGGTCTTGGATCTTCCCCCCGCGGTACACGTGCAGCTCTGGGATGCACCGCTCAGAACCCACGAAGGCTCCAGTTCCCTCCCTCCCTCCCCCCCCTTTGCCTCCCTCCCTCCCTCCCTCCCTCCCTCGCTCCGCCGATTTCTTTCGAAGAGCTCGAGTTCTTACAACCTCCTCCTCCTCCTCCTCCTCCTCCTCCTCCTCCTCCTCCTCCTCCTCCTCCTCCTCCTCCTCCTCCTCCTCCACAGTCGAGGACAAACGCCCGCATGGAAAAACATCTCGTCTGGGGTGCTCCGCCGCGCCCGCTCCAGCGCCTCCAGGAGGCACAGAGCCTTTCAAGCACCCAAGGTCGTTCGATGATTCTGGGCTCTCTCGCCGTTCCCCAAGATGGCCCCAAGGGTGGGGCTCCAAGGAGGGACCAGCACGCTCTCGGCCCCATGCGAGCCTGCGGGCAACTGCCAACGGTGTTGCAGCATGGGCCGGCGGAGTGAGCGAAGCAATTTGATTATTTGGGACCCCCGGTCTGAGGGGGAACGTTAGACGGCTCCGGGGGGGGGGGAACATCGGCCTGGAATCGGCGATACATCGCCGATAAATCGGCGATAGGCCCCCAATACCGAATCCGCACGCTCCTATGCAGGCTGGGGTATCGGGCCCCAATCGGCGGTCAATGGGCGATTGAGGGTCGGTGCATCCTCCCCCGAGCTTATCCCCCGAGTCATCCTCGTCGTCCCGTTTTCGTTCACAACTTGGGTCCCCAGTGACCGTTCGGGGCGAGTCTGGCGCCGCTGGAACGCTCTCGACGACGCGCAGCTGATGGAAACCGGCCCAGGCACTGAAACGTATATAAGAACCAACGAAAATTTACTAAAACTCACCCCCTGAGCCTATCCCGCCCTATCCTTGCACCCGACCTCCTGGGACTACCAGACTGCCGAAATGCTTGATGGTACGACGAAGAGGAGGAGGAGGAGGAGGAGGAGGAGGAGGAGAGGGGAAAAGAAAGGAGGGAAAGAGAGGAGGAGGAGGAGGAGGAGAAGGAGGAGGAGGAGGAGGAGAAGGAGGAAGACGAAGAGGAGGAGGAGGAGGACGAGGAGGAAGGGGAGGAGGAGGAGGAGGAGGACGAGGAGCAGCAGCAGGAGGAGGAGGAGGAGGAAAGGGAGGAGAAGGAGGAGGGGGAGGAAAGGGAGTAGAAAAACCTGAGGTTGGAAAACCGCCGCAAGCCAACGAAGACGTCCGACAGCCTCAAACCTGCAACCTCCAACCCGAGGACCCCTGGAGGGGGATGAGGAGGAAAGGGAGGAGGATGAGGATGAGGAGGAGGGAGGAGGAAGGAGGGAGGAGTAGAAAGGAGGAACCAGCTTCTGGCTCTGCTCCCTCAATTTGCGAGGATGCGAGGAGTTGCCGAGCGAGCAGAGCGGGACCCCATGTCTTGGCATGCAGGATAGGAGGGATGAGTGGGAAAAGGATGACTGACGAGGTGGATGACGCGTGAGTGGAAGGGATGACGAGGAGGAGGAGGAGGAGGAGGAGGAGGAGGAGGACGGCGACGACGACGACGACGACGAGGAGCACGAGGAGTAGAACGAGGAAAGGGAGGAGGAAGAGGAGAAGGAAGAAACGGAGGAGGACAAGAGGCCCCGATCCCCTGGCGCCACCGCCAACATGTGCACTGCGAGCCACCGGAAGGTGAAGATCGGGTACGCCACTGGCGTGCGGGCGGCCGCGATCTGCGGCTTGCTCTGGGGGCGCGGGGCCGCCGCTGGGCGGTCCGCCGCCGCAGTCGTCCGAGTCGGCGCCGCCGCCGCCGCCGGCGAAGAGTAGGGCGAGGAGGGCGAGGAGGGCGAGAAGGGCAAGAAAGGGAAAAGGGGCAGGGCCGAGGGCGGGGACGCGCTCCTCCTCCTCCTCCTCCTCCTCCTCCTCCTCCTCCTCCTCCTCCTCCTCCTCCTCCTCCTCCTCCTGGTCCTCCTCCTCCTCCTCCTCCTCCTCCTCCTCCTCCTCCTCCTCCTCCTCCTTCTCCTCCTCCTCCTCCTAGCCATTTTGCGCCGAGCCGCCTTTGCGCCTGCAGAGAGGCGGGACGGTGCTGGAGAGCGCCAACTTCAAAGTGGCACTGCGCTCTCGAGCTATTTCATGGCCCCACGCTCCAAGTCGCGGGATGGAGGCTGGGTTTGCAGCGGATGCAAAGCTCGGAATGGGGACGGCTACGATTTCTGCTGGAAGTGCTGGAAGGTTCGAGACTCCGCGAAGACTGCGAACCACGGTGCGACCAGCTCCCAGGACGACACAGACGCCGAGGATGCCACCAAAGCAAAGCTCAAGAAGTTACGGGTACACCTGGCAGAACTTCGACGGCATGCGGAGGACCCAAACTTGGCCAAGCACGCCCAAGGCAACATCGACATCGTGCAGAAAGAAGTTGATGAGTTGCAGGCAGCTGTCGACAGTGGCAGCGACATCCCACGTTGCTTCTCGGAGTGCAAGCTCGTCCGAGAGAGGAACAAAACGCAGGCGCAGCGCGAGCGCACCCAGGAGCGGGTCGAGAAGCTGGAGCAGGAGATCAAGGAGGCCCAAGAGAAGCTCGACAAGGAGAAAGCCCTCTTGGCCGGACAAGACGAGAAATTACAAAAGCAGAATGCCCGCATCGAGGAGCTCAGCGTGCCCCAGGCGGGCAAGGGCTGGGGAGCGGCCGCGTCCTTCCTGGAGCAAGTGAAGAAGTGCCTGCGCGACCAGGAGACAGACACCAAGATCGCCGAAGCCCTTCGCCACGCGCAGCAGCAGCACACCGCCGAGGAGGAGCGGGCCGCTGCGGCCGCAGCGGCAGCAGCCGCTAAGGCCAAGAAGGAGGCCGACGCCGCAGCGCGCGAGGCCGCCCACGACAAGCAGCAGAGGAACAAGCGCAGAGCTGAGGAGGGGATCAAGCAGGAGTTGGTCTCTTTCCCCCAGAACGCCGACGCGACGCAGATCACCAAGATCATGCAGGAGGCAGGCTGCACGGCCGAGCAGATCGAGCGCCATAGGCCTCACCTTCTCCCTCTGCTGGCTTTCATGCAGCCTTACACCACGCTCACCATCAGCAAGAGCATGTGGACGGCCCAGCCTTCGTCCTGACGAAGAGCAGGGGCAGGGGTTCTTCACCATCAATGCGAACTCCATCGGCACGCTGGAGCGTACCATGCGCTCCATCAGGTACACGTACAAGTACCCCATCATCATGGCGCAGGAGCTGCAGGCCAACGAGCACAACATCTCTTGCCTCACGCAACGCATGCAGAAGGAGGGCTGGAGCGCAGGGGTGCTCCTGGCGACCGTGCGGCCAAACAACATGAGCTACGCCAGGGACCTCGACACGTGGGACATCTCGCCCCGCGAGTCCAAGGGCCGCCTTGCGATTGGCTGGGTTCACGCCCTCGGCAAGGAGGGCATCACCGTAGGCACGGCTTACCTCTGGGTCAGCGAGGGCATGACAGACCGCAACAGGGCCATCCTGCGGAACTTCACCACGGCCGCTGCGGCGGCGGGGAAGCACTGGATCCTGGGCGGCGACTTCCACATGGACCCAGCAGAGCTACAGCACACAGGAGTGATCAACAGGATGGACGGGGTCATCGTGTTCGACACTTCGCACGGCTCGTGCGTCACACTGGGCGAGGCACGGCACCGCGACTACTTCATCATATCCAAGGCGCTCCTGGATGGCCCGCTCCACGTGGCCGCGCAGGACCAGTACAACACGTCGCCGCACTCACCTGTGCTCCTGCGAGTTCCTCGCCTACGGGAAGAGAAACGCTGGGCACGGGTTCTGCGGCGCCAACGGCGATGGCCACTTCAGCTGCCCACAGGCTGCATGACGGGGCCGACTTCGTGGCCACGGCTCCTGGAGCACCGCAGGCACACTCAGGAGGACGTGGACCGCTACTGGGGCAACCTGGCCAACACGCACGAGGAGCACCTGAACAAGTACTTCAACTACGTCGGCCTGGACTGGCACGAGCGCAAGGGCCACCTGCAGCTGCCCACCTACGCGCGGGGGCAGCTCAAGCCGCCCACGGTGCGCGAGGCCGCGCGGGAGCAGCAGCGGGCGGAAGCAGCTGAATGGCTGGGACGCAGCCTGGATCACGTCAGCACCGCGGTGCGAGCGTAGTGGAAGAACGGGAAGCAAGAGACGTTGGACTGGGCCCAGAACAACGCCAAGGGCATCCTCGAGAAGGACATCATCGAGCCGCTCCTCGAGCGGAACCACCCAGCATGGCGCGCCGAGCCCGACCAGGAGCGGGACAACGACGACGCCATGGACGAGCAGGAGAACTCTGACAACCTGGACGAGTTAAACTACACCGGGCGCCGAGTCGAGGAGGACATGACGAGCCTCCCAGCGAATACTCCTCGGCGGACCCCCGCTGTCCTCGGCCTCACGGCTTCGCAGGACTGCCCGTTGGTCGGGGCGGAAGCGGCAGGAGAGCGCCGCCGACCGACGGGGCGGGGGCGATACACGGACATCGATTGGGGCAAGTTGGTGAACACAGTCGCCTGGATCGACGCCGAGCACATCACCGAGAGGGGCTTGCACTACGTGGACTGCGTGGCCAAGCTCATGACAGTAGCCAGCCAGCACACGTGGCGGCGAGCACGACAGGAAGCGACACGAGAATGGCGACGCCGGGTGACCAAGCACAGCCAGGGGGGAGCGGGGGCGCTGCACAAGTGGACTAAGCCGCCTGTGCCGTGGGCACCGATCAAGCCGACAGAGTCCCGCACCCAGCAGGAGCTCACGCACCCGCAGGTGGCAGCGGACACGGCGCTGGAAGGCTGGAAGACGGTCTGGGCGGACAGCTACAACGCCGACGAGCCGCGGTGCCAGGCCCCCAGCGACGACGAGTGGAGCGAGCACAGGGTCCCGCGGATCACCCCGAGGGACATCATCGAGGCTTGTGGGCGTTTCCGCGCTGGGACAGGCCTGGGAGAAGCAGATTGGCACCCGCGTCTCTGGCGACATGGCGGGTATTGAGGTGCGGCACGCGTGGCTAGTGTGCTCAACGCGGTGGAGCGAGGAGCGCCTTGGCCCACGTCGCAGGCCACCATCCTCTTCTACCTCACGCCGAAGGCGGCAGGTGGCTTCCGCAACCTGGGCCTTATCCCTGAGCTGGCGCGCGTGTGGGAGACCATCCGCATTCCCTACGCGAGGCGTTGGGAGGCAGCCAACAAGCGAGCCTATGACTGGGCACGCCGAGGGAGATCGTCGGAACGCGCGGCATGGCTACAGGCTCTTTACTGTGAGGCCGCGCGGGCCGACGGACACGACTACGCGGTGACCTACTTCGACCTGATCAAGTGCTTCGAGTGGGTCACACATCGGAAGGTTTGGGAGGCGTCGCAGCGATGGGGCTTCAATCCAATCGTCATGCGGACCGTCCTCAAGATCTACAGCATGGTGCGGCGCATCGTCCTGGACGGGTGCTACACCGACGGCAGGGCGTGGCAGCGCGGCATCGTGGCGGGCAGCAGGTATGCACCGTTCTGTCTCAAGATGGTGATCATCCTCGAGCTGGACAGACTGGTGCACCAGTCCCCCTGGGCGGACACGTGCCTCTTCTTCGACGACCTCGCCATGGCCACGTACGGCAGGCACGAGTACGTCGACGAGGTCCACCCGCGGCTCATCGCGGCCGTGGTCTCTATCTTCGAGACGACGCTGGACATGGCCGTCTCGCGGGGCGCGGAGGGAAAGACGGTCACCCTGACCTCCTCCACCGCGCTGGGCCAGCACATCAACAAGAGTACCAGGCACCCCGGCGTGAGAGTGGTCAAGCACGAGAAGCACCTGGGAGCGACAGCAACAGCATGCAGACGGAGGAGAGTGGCCGCCATCAACAAACGGGGGCCCAAGTTTGCAGCGAGAAAGTCACGGGTGGCAGCCGTGCGCAGAGCAGGAGGAGCGACACACAAGCTGATCCGACAAGCCAAAGTGCCAGCCCTCCTCTACCGATCCTCCGTCGTCGGCATGGCAGACTCCAAGCTCACTGAGCTCAGGAAGAACGTGGCGGCGGCGATGGAGGGCAACAACAAGGGAAGGTCAACGGCGCTCACGCTGCTCAGCGACAGGGCCGACCCAGGCATCCTGGCCAACAGCGGCCCCATCATCGCCTAGGCTACGGCGCGGCAGGAAGCGCTCGAGGGCGACCAGCTGGCCGCGCGGCTCCAGAGCGCGCGGCGCACCTGGGTGATGAAGATCTACAAGTGCAAGGCCCCCCTGGCTCACAGTGCGGGGGCCAGCGGGGGCTTTCGTGGCGACGGCCAGGCGCCTCGGCTGGATGACGCAGGCCTCGCACACGGTCACCATCGACGGGAACGTGCTCGACCTCCGCTACACCGCGTCGCAGGAGATCCGGCACCACGTCGCACGCACCACAGAGCAGCAGCTGGAGGACGAGTGGGTGGGACAGCACGGCCGCCAGTACGGCATCACCCTCCATCTTCCTGGCACCGGCGCAAGCACTACTGCGACGGCCTCTCCAGGGCCGCTGGACGCAGGCCCACCGCACTCCAGTGAGGGGCCTGTTCTGCGGAGGGACGTGGCCGCAGGCGCGGCTACACGCAGCAGGAGCAGCAGCCGACAGCACATGCAGAGCGCGCGGGCTGGCACCAGGCACCGACAGGCACCGCGCCTTTGCGTGTCCAGCGCGCCAGCCACATCGCGATGTTGTCGGAGGCCTCCACATTCAGCAGCGAGGAGCCAACCCCTGGCCAGGCCCAGGAGCCGACGCTCTCTAGGGGCGCGGCGTCATGGCTGACCCCGCCGACGAGCTCGGGGTCTGGGAGCTAGCTTCGTGCGACGACTGGCTCACCGAGGGCAACTGGGACGGCCTCGCGGCAGGGGACATATACGTGGACGGCTCGTTGCAGTTCGGCGACTACGCACCACTGCGACGAGGAGGATGGAGCTTCACTAAGCTCAAAGACAACGGCGAGTACGACATGGACTACGTGTGCTACGGGCCCCTCCCTGGCGCGCAGTGGGCCCAGAGCATCCTGCGGGCGGAGCTCTACGCGCTGCTGCAGGCGCTGCGCGTGGGCACCCTGCCCATGCGCATTTTCACCGACTGCCAGAACGTCGTCGACGGCGCGATGGCGGGACCAGCGTGGCTCGACAAGAGGAGCCGCCCGCACCTCGACCTCTGGGAGTGCATCGCCCAGGCCATCGCAGAGCTCGGAGGCCTGGGCCCGCGCACCGTGCAGGTGCTGAAAGTGAAGGCCCACGCGACGCGCGCCGAGCGAGCCGCTGTCGGGCGCGCGCAGTGGGAGGGCAACAAAATAGCTGATCAATATGCCAAGCAGGGAGCTCTGTACCATACCCACCCTGTCTGGTGTAGAGAGACTTACATTCAGAAGTATCGACTGGTTCGGGGCATCCTGGAATTCGGAGCCTATGTAGGAGTCCTGGGCCGTGATATTGTCGACACTGAGCAGGGCTCGAGTCCGACGGACTCGAACCCCCCCGACCCCCCCTCGGACCTCCTGGACCTTCCTGGGAACCTGGGGGCGGTCGCGGGCGAGGAGGGCGGGGCCCTGGTGGCCCCTGACCCCTCAGCCCCGCCCCTGGTTGCTGACCTCCCGTCTCGGGCCGCTCTGGACTGGGGGTGCGCCAGGGTCGACAGAGCCCAGAGAGCGGGGCACAAAATCGTGACCCGCAGCACGTACGTCTTTTGCCGCAGGTGTGCCAGGTACGCCCGCGACAGGCGGACGGGCCTATTCTCCCCATGTCGCCCTGGGGCCCAAAGGGTGATCGGGGGTAGGCTGAATCGGTTGTGGAGCGGGCTTCACCCCTCCACAAACCAGCCCCTGTAGGGGCTCCTGGAGTTTAGGGTCTGGCTCGGGGACGGCCCGAAGCGGCCCGACGCTCCCACGGCACGAAAGCGTAGGCGGTCGTGATCCGTTTTGGCCCGCACTCATCCGCACTCATCCTCCTCCTCCTCCTCCGCCTCCGCCTCCGCCTCCGCCTCCGCCTCCTCCTCCGCCTCCGCCTCCGCCTCCGCCTCCGCCTCCGCCTCCGCCTCCTCCTCCTCCTCCTCCTCCTCCTCCTCCTCCT